TAATTCTAGACCCAACAGTTTGTTTGTACAAGGCATAATGAGCTCACATAGGAATGTGTGTACAAATAGTGAAATGAGCTCACATAGGAATGTGTGTTCAAATAGTGAAATGAGCTCACATAGGAATGTGTGAACAAATAGTGAAATGAGCTCACATAGGAATGTGTGTACAAATAGTGAAATGAGCTCACATAGGAATGTGTGTACAAATATTGAAATGAGCTCACATAGGAATGTGTGTTCAAATAGTGAAATGAGCTCACATAGGAATGTGTGAACAAATAGTGAAATGAGCTCACATAGGAATGTGTGTACAAATAGTGAAATGAGCTCACATAGGAATGTGTGTACAAATATTGAAATGAGCTCACATAGGAATGTGTGTACAAATAGTGAAATGAGCTCACATAGGAATGTGTGTACAAATAGTGAAATGAGCTCACATAGGAATGTGTGTTCAAATAGTGAAATGAGCTCACATAGGAATGTTTGTACAAATAGTGAAATGAGCTCACATAGGAATGTGTGTACAAATAGTGAAATGAGCTCACATAGGAATGGTTGTTTGAATAGTGAAATGACCTGACAGAGGAATGCGTGCACAAAATAGTGAAAGAATTTCCACCCTATTGTAATATTACGTTTCCTGTGAAATTTGCTGAATATATTTAGAGTTACGTTGATCTACAAAACAGCCTCTGATATTGTTGATACTTGATTATGTTGAAAACATTAAGATAATGAAATTAAATGTCAGTGATTTTTTTGGCCTTTTTTAGCAAAATTTAAATAGGGCAATAGTCACATAATCAAGCTTTCTCGGCAACATAACAATTCTCAGAAAATATACATAAAACACCACATATATAGTGTAAACATATATATAAGTTTGCAATTCTCTCACCGACTGAACTGAACTAATGCATAGATAATTAATTAATTATCATGTATACCATGGTGTTTTCAATATATTCGTTTTGTGATAGAACAGTTCAAAATATGCAAAGAGGAAAAATATAATTTCACCCACAAATCTGCATTTATACTCAATTTAAATACAATATGACTAGTTTAACATGATTGGTCACGTGGTCGTCTTATCGACAAA